TACTGGTCCATACTGGTTTGTACTGGTTCAGGCCCGTGGTGACGATGAAGGTGACGATGATGATGACGAGCAGTCACTGGCGCGGGCCCAGGAGCGCCTCCTGCAGGTCCGTACTGGTTCGTACTGGTTCATACTGGTTTTTACTGGTTTATACTGGTCCATACCGGTCCGGACTGGTCCATACTGGTTTGTACTGGTGGCAGATCATGGACGCCCCCTGGGAGGCCGCTGACGATGAAGGTGACGATGATGAGGATGAGCAGTCGGTGGCGCAGGCCCAGGAGCGCCTCCTGCAGGTCCGTACTGGTTTATACTGGTCTGTACTGGTCTGTACTGGTCTGTGCTGGTTTATACCAGTCTGTACTGGTCCATACCGGTCCGTACTGGTTTATACTGGTCCACACTGGTTTATACTGCTCCATACCGGTCCATACTGGTTTATACTGGTTTATACTGGTCCGTACTGGTTTATACCAGTCCATACCAGTCCATACTGGCCCATACTGGTTTATACTGGTCAATAGCAGTCCATACGGGTCCGTACTGGTCTGTACTGGTTTATACTAGTCCATACCAGTCCGTACTGGTTTATACAGGTCTGTACTGGTTTATACTGGTTTATACCGGTCCGTACTGGTCCATACTGGTTTATACTGGTCCGTACTGGTCCATACTGGTTTATACTGGTCCGTACTGGTCCATACTGGTTTATACCGGTCCGTACCAGTCCATACCGGTCCATACTGGTCTGTTCTGGTTTATACCGGTCCGTACTGGTCCATACTGGTCCATACTGGTTTATACTGGTTTATACCGGTTTATACCGGTCCGTACCGGTCCATACTGGTTTATACCGGTCCATACTGGTTTATACCGGTCCGTACCGGTCCATACTGGTTTATACTGGTCCGTACTGGTCCATACCAGTCCATACTGGTCCATACCGGTCCGTACTGGTCCATACTGGTCTGTACTGGTCCAGGCGCTGATGTGCCGCGCCGCGCGGGCGCTGCCGCGCCGGGAGCTGTGCCAGGACTGGGAGCTGCTGGGGGAGCTCGGCAGCGGCTCCTACGGGCGCGTGCTGCTGGCACGGCCCCGGCACGGAGGTGAGCGCACCTGGGCACACCTGGGCACACCTGGGG